CTAATGGAATCGTCAGTCTCAAGGTTCAAGAGGAAATAACTGTGTGGTTATGTGAAGATGATGTCGAATGTTAAAGTATGCTTTCTTGCAGTAATCATTTACGTTTAAAATATTTAAAATATCATTTCACGTTCCACATCGAATGATTAAATTTAATCTAAATTTTCATAATCAACATATTTACGTGGAATACGTGACAGGATGTATCATTTTAGTCAGAAATGTATTTAGATTCCTCAATTTATGGGAATATATTGTTTTTTAAGGCTTCAAATAAATTCTCGATCGCCTTTTGTCTTTAACAAATTGTTAGTTTAATAACAGATGATGGTGGTCTGATCAAAATGATATTCTTCGCTACCCAGTAGCTTACCCAACGAATATTTAATAAGGCCGGAGTTCGATCCCCGACGGGGGCAGAGGACTTTTCCTCCAGCCTCTGCGTTCAGACCGGTTCTGGGGCCCACCCAGCCTCCTATCCACTAGCCTGATGCTGACCACTCACCCCCATCTAGTGCCGAGGTCAAAAATTAGTAGGAGCCATACCTCCTCTCCCCCCAAGCGTCTACATGGCGTATAGTGGGACAGCTTTACATGAAGATTTGCTGTCATATACTGCGCTGTAAGATGAAGAAGACACTGGACCCAATGACGACCTTACTGTAAATCATGACAGCTGAGACATTGAGTTAAAACTGATGGGACATAGCTCTTACAGTTTTTGATGGGTTACATAGAGTTGTAACTAGGATGGATTTTATCTGTGCCTGCGAGGCGAACTCTCTGCTACTAGGTTTAACGTGCAGACTCTCCTAATGATTGATTCCAGCATCTAAAGTAGCAACGTCACGATTGCCATCCTCATAAGAGGATTTATTTTCCATAATAATACATGTTATTAAATAATACGTATGTTTAAGATTAACATTTCAAAACCGGCGCTTAAATTTTGTGAGATAAAATTTGTTATAAGATATTGTAGGTGCGTCATATTGTGATTTTATTTAAAAATAGTATTAAAATATATTAAAAATTGTCCGTCAATCACAATAAAGTAATATAAGATAATTAAATGGTTAAAATATTATCCTTTGTTCCATATCGAGTACTCGATTTACAACCCCATTTTTAATGCACTCCAGTACCTTGACCTCAACCCTGACAAACCGCCTTTCATCCACTAACACCGCAGTCAATAACCAACCTCGCTCCGATACGATGTACTTCTGATCTCTCCTCTTACAAATTCGATATTACTTCTCTGGTAAGTTTATACGTTCACTTTCATTTATTTATTTTGTTTTCTATATTCAATTTCATTAATGGTTTTGAATCCTTTAATTCACAGACCAATATACGCAGCATTAACATCACTCCGACAATACGATTGCATCAATGATATATAACACAACAATAAATGTTGATACATTGTGAAAAACGAAGAAATGATAAGAAAATTAAAAATTAGTAATTGAATTAAGAGTTTATAACATACACCTGATGACGGCTCTATGAAAGCCGAAACATGTCGAGAATGTTCCATATGTAAATCGAGTACTCGATACGGAACAAAGGAAAATATTTTAACCATTTAATTATCTTATATTACTTTATTGTGATTGACGGACAATTTTAATATATTTTTAAAATTTGTTATGTTTAAATTGTGAATGTAAGCCGAGTCTGTCGCGAGGCTATAAAACAGATTTATATGTGACCAGGACAGATCCAAAGAACGTGAGACCAGTATCATTTATGACGTTGTCTGTTAAAGTAACGTATTTGATATTCTCGACGTTTTTGTGTCGGTTCACGTTGAATGTTCGGTCTTGACGGTTCTTTAATAAGTTTTGTTATTTCAAGATTAACAGCGTTTGGGATGGATCTCAGTACATCTGAATTATAAGCTAGAACACTAACCACTAAGCAGACACCAGGGCGGGCCATGATTGGTTGATTTTATGGCCCTAGGAAACTTGTGTTGTGTATGTTGTTATATCCAAACTAATAGAAGGTGCCATATGAAATTTACATCTAAATTGATGGCTGTTTTATCCTAGTATTTTAGTGGTTGGCCTACTGACCTAATACTCAAAAGGTCCCGGATTCGATTCCAGACACTGATGTTAAATTTAAATCATTATCAAACAGAAAAAGGTGTTCTTGGTCTATATTTTTATTCTGAATAGCAGATATATTAAATGGCTGTCTTTTGGGTTGTAACGTCATGTTGTCTGGTAGAAGTTCACCAACATTTCAGAGGTCCTTGCTGCCTTCATCATCATCGCCCTGATGATGGAGTTAGCAACGACCGAATCGGAACTTTTCAGAAAATGGCTATCTGTTGTTACAAGCCTTTAGAGAAACCTAATTGTTTGATGCACAATTTTGGGGAGATAAATACTTGCTTATTTAAATAGATTAGCATGAACATTTTTGAGACATTACGAACTGGTCTCAGAATTACGGCTTCAATTGTTTTAGATCTTGTGATTGTCAAGTCTGTTAGTCATTGTCACGTGGTATCTTAATCCTGGGGTTGCACTGTTCAAATCCAACGTAGGGCACGGGGTACCGTTTTTATTCTGACGTTGTATCCCCAAATTATGAAAGGAGGCGGCCTCCAGGTGTGTATGCCAAATGGCGATTTATTTAATACACACTGCTTGACTTTTGACAGATGTTGGTCCCTCAGTTTTTGGGGGCTGTGCAGTTGACTAACCCCCCCCCCCATTATTATAAAAAAATATAATTTTATGAAATTTTACACGGGGTCTGAAGTTACTTAATAATTTTTGAGGTCTCATGAACGTCCGTTGAAACAAATATATTGTCTATGTTAAATTGGATTTATTAATGAATAATTAAAAACATAATTGTTTTTCAGACATCGGAGCTAATGGGATAAAATTACGCGTTGATGTTCTAAATCATCCTGTATATACGGTGAACACCAGTAACATAACCGAATATAAAATAAAACTAATCTCATAAAAATTAATGAGACTAATAGCATGTTCACCTTCAAACTTAAAGTCTGGGAGTTAAGAGCGTTATATTTTAGTAAGCTGTCTTACGAGGTCGTGATTTCGAATTCCGCTCGATTAGTCGCGTCCGTGTTGTAGTGTAAAGAGATACTTTTATGATACACGATAAGATGAGTAAGGTTATCAAACCAGACGGAAAGTGAAACTTTAAATTAAAAGTTTTAATTTCGACCACATGTAACATGGATAGATGACGGTAATATTAAGAGCTCCACATATTAGGGGATAGATTAGGATAGAAAAATATGAACGTACCGAAGGCACTCAAACCGATTTTATTTTATATGTTCAGAACCAGAATTATTTTGCACTGTTATTTAAAAACCTTCTAAAACGTTACGACACAAAAATTGGCGGTATATTTGCACAAGTTCAACTCTTAATATCCTTAATTCGTTCTACAAATATCTCGAAAGAAAACCCAAATTGTTTGTAATATCTGAGGTATTCACGGCGGTGAGTACAAAGATGGCTGTGTAGTCTGTTAGAAGTTTATTAACGTATCAGAGGTCCTTGTTGCCTGATGATGGAGGCAACAAAGACCTACGAAACGTCGGCATAATTCTACCAGACTGCACGGCGCAACAACCCGGAAGACAAACATTTTCAGGCCAAAATTATGACGAAATGTTTTAAACCACGAAAATAGAACAATAGATGTTTTATCAAGCTTTAACTGCTAAATTATTGAATCTGTGTGCCTTATTCAGTAAGACGACTAACTAAGGCCTGAACGGTCGAGCTTTGATTCCTGGCGGGATCAAGATTTTTTCCATCAATTCCACGGAGGTTCTCAGAATATCAGTGGGTTTTTTTTAAAAAATGCCATGTCTTCGTTCTTTGACGCGTGGTATTAGAACGATCATAATTTAATGTTTCATACCTGCGGGTTGTGAATCTAACAACAGAAATCTTAAGTTGATATAATTGCGTCATATTGTGAATTAAAATTTAATTATTCGTGTTTTTTTTCCGTCTAATCACAATTGTATATAAATAAAATTATACATAAGATATTAAAATATCATTTACATATTTGGTACAACTTTTTACTACATGTTTCGGTTACATTGAACCATCTTCAGGTGTAAAGTTAAAAGTTAAAAATTATAATCTTATAAACTAAAACTTAATTACTGTTGTTGTGTAACTTCTGATGATGTTTAC